AAGCTACTTGGCAAGTTCCAAGCCATTGAGGCCCTGCCCCTCACCCCTCCCATGGAAACATATACAGGGACACACACACACGTTTAGATAGACAGATAGACAGATAGACAGATAGACAGATAGACAGATAGACAGATAGACAGATAGACAGATAGACAGATAGACAGATAGACAGATAGACAGATAGATAGATAGATAGATAGATAGATAGGCAGGCAGGCAGGCAGGCAGGCAGGCAGACAGACAGGTAGATAGACAAACATATAAGCAGTATTCCTTTTGGCTTATGGAAGTGTAGGCTTTAAAAAAGAAAAAAACACCCAAGTTCTGCCACTGTGACAACATGGGTCAACCTCTGGGACTTTATGCTTAGTAAAGTAAGCCAGGCAAGGAAAGACAGATACTGCCTGACCTCATTTATTTGTACAATTTAAAACTTTTGAACTCTTAGATGCAAACTGGTGAATAATGGTTATAGGGGGTTAAAGGACAAGGGTCAAAAGATACAAAATTTCAGTTGTAGCAAAACTCAAGACATCTGTTTGTGGCCTGAAAATCAGTAGCAGAGGTGTGTCCCTGGAAACCATGGCCACTACAGCTTACATCTCTCTACGTCCCATCCTCCAATTCCAATGCCCCGATCTTATCTCCAGCTTGGTAGCAGATCAACTGCTGCACTCTCTCCACCCTCTCTGCCCTGTTCCAAAGGGATTAAACAGACCATCTTCTTTTGTCCCACAAATATTTCTGTTCTGCAAATTTGTCTCACCTGCCAACACTCAGGGCAGTCTCTCCCTGGAAACCTGCCGGCCATGCAGACCAGGGAATCACACTGGCAATCTTCTCTCTCACACCTATCGTCAATTCTAATTTCCCCTTATCACTGTCACCCCTAGCCCTGCAGCAGAGCACCTGTGGTGTCCTGCATTGCCAGCCCTGCAGCAGAGCACCCACAGTGTCCTGCATTGCCAGCCCTGCAGCAGAGCACCCACGGTGTCCTGCATTGCCAGCCCTGCAGCTGTGTACCTGCGGTGTGGTGTCCTGCACTGCCAGCCCTGCAGCTGTGCACCTGCGGTGTGGTGTCCTGCACTGCCAGCCCTGCAGCTGTGCACCTGCGGTGTGGTGTCCTGCATTGCCAGCCCTGCAGCTGTGCATTTGCGGTGTGGTGTCCTGCATTGCCAGCCCTGCAGCTGTGCATTTGCGGTGTGGTGTCCTGCATTGCCAGCCCTGCAGGAGAGCACCCACGGTGTCCTGCATTGCCAGACCTGCAGCCGACCACCTGTAGTGTCCTGCATTGCCAGCCCTGCAGCAGAGCACCTGTGGTGTTCTGCATTGCCTCTCTCCCTTCACTCCCTGTGGACTCTACAGTCCCGGCAGTCCCAATGTTTTCCCATTCTATAGACCCTTTTAGCACTCTGCCTTCTAGCCAACCCCCATTACTGCTAGTTAGCTTGTAATACCTAGAACTGAGAGGGGGTGAGAGAAAACTCTTAAAACACTTTTAATGGAAATGTAAACTGGTACAAACACTATAGAAATCACTATGGAGGTGCCTCTAAATGCTACAAACATAGCTACCATATGATCCAGCTATACCATTTCTGAGTATATACCTACAAGAATCTAAGTCCGCATATTACTGACTTAGATACTGTATACCCATTTTTACCAGAGAAACATTCACAGAAGCCAAGACAGAGAACATACATACCCACCAATAGAGAATATATACACAATGGAGTTTTACTTAACCACAAGGAGAAACAAAACTAGGTCATTTACCTAGAAGAGGAGACCATCATGGTAAGTGAAATATACCAGACAAAGAAAGCAAGTATCTCATTTTATCTTATATGTAGAATTTAGCTTTTTTTAAAAAAGACAAGAACGTACAGAGAAAGCTACTTGGAAGAGGAAGGAGACCAGAATGGAAGAGAAAGCAAGGGGAGGGATGAAAACTATCACAGCCCATAATAGGTATTTATGACTATGTCCTAATGAAAGTGATTATGTTGTTCAATTAATACAAATTTATAAAACCTGTGGCAATTATAGGAGCATACTGATGAAGGCTGGAGAATGAATTTCATCCAACTATGCTGTAGATGTTGAAGGTATCCTCCCACAAAATAGAATATATTCACACATATGTGTGATAGGGTCCTCCCGAAAACTACGGTCCTCCCGAAAAATAGAATATATTCACACATATGTGTATTGTGTGTATATTTATCTTTCCTTGTCTGGCTTATTTTACTCAACATCACACACACACACAATTTATCATAAGAATTGTTTCAGGAAATTATGTATGCCCTGTAGGTTCACAGGATATAGATCTTAAAAGGAGAGAAAAGGAAGAACTGTGCAGAGCACTCTCACTGAGGGGAAGCAAGGAGGACGTGCAAACTGGCTTCTGCAAATGAGAGAAGGCAGTTCCTTCACAGTCCTGACTGGAGGCCTGAACGGGCACACGGGCAGTCAAAGGAGCTGATAGGCAATAGTACCACATAGATGCTCTCTATCATTTCTATTACAGAAAAGGAAGAAGGGTGGTGATTATCTGAAGAAGGACGGCAAATGGAAAGGTTCAAGGAGAGAAGAGTTTTTAGAACACTCTTCTAAAGGAAGAGAAAAGTAAGCCAACCTGGAAACACCCCACCACAGCCCGGCACCTTCGGGACAGAACAGGAATCCATCGTTGCTCTTGTATCAATCACTTCTGAACACAGTAGACACACTTCCATGAGGACGGATTCCTAGGAACTGATGGATGCTGTCCTCCTCTTTAATGGTTGCTGCCTGTTAAGTTACAGCTATGCTACTCAGCAACTGCAACTCTGCCATTATCAACTGCTGCTAGGCCGCAAGAGCCGCAGCCTGTGGAAACTCTGTTCCCTCAGGCACCAACTCTTTCAAAGCTACTAAAAGAATTTATCCAGATTTCTGTACCACTAGAGAACTCAAGATTTAATGGTTAAGGTAGAATCCTGCTACCCAGAGAGGCTGAATAGCAAGCAGCTCGGGCATCTCACCTCCTTGTATCTCCCAAGAAGGCCTTGTGAGGTTTTTCCCCCCTCCTTATAAACCCTTCTCCACCTGGCCCCTCCCTACAACTTCCTGTCAGCTAGTCACTGCCTCAGCCTCTGGATAGCAGGTGAATTTTATTTAATCAAACACTTCTTTGCATCATGAAACAAATGTTCCAGAGCACAAAGAAAAGTAATACATCTTAAAATAATATTCTACAACAGAAGGATATTTTTATGCTTGGGAAATATCGATTCATAATACAATTTCTATTTTCATTTCCCTTGTTCAGGTTACCAAAATATTTTGAAGAAACAAATTAATAAAGTGGAAATCAGCTAATAAAACTGACAATGACTATGTTACTCAGAAACATAGCAAAGAAATGCTTTCTCCAATGAAACTTAGCAAAGGAGACAGTGTTAAACATGTCAAGGAAAACTGACCAAGAAATGGTTGAGATACTGAAAAAAATACGGGTATTGTTGCATTATTTATAAGTGATGTCATTTATAATTCCCAGGTAAGCTCCTTGCACTCAGTACTCATGAAACATACATTAGGGAAACAAGCAAGCAGGGTAACAAATGTTGAAACCTAAAAGATGAAAGATAGAGTATAAACAGTCTGATGGAAAGACTTGGAGCTGAGTAGGAAGATGAGAGCAAACACTTGAAAATGGTCTGGGTTCACTGCAGGATGGGAGTAAGTATGAAAACATCCAAAGGGCACCCCTGAAAAAACCTCTTCCTGAAAAAGATATAATACTACTCCCAAGTCTCTGAGAAAGTGATAGATTTTGTCATGCAGGAATGGAACACCAAAGCCCAAATTTTAAAGTGCACTAAGTGACTGTGAAATCAATCTCTTACACATGATTTCTGTCCAATGTAAGCTCGACAGGATTATAAAGAATGGGATGGTGATGTGAGAATTGACTTCTAAACTTTATGAAAAGTCTGACAGTGGACCCTCACAATCATGTAGGAATTCCTTGGCCTGGGAACTCTTAGCATAGCCCCTGGCAGTGTGTGACGTGATCCTACATTGAACTTGGCTCCTCCATAGGAGTCTCCCCTCCTCTCTCTGCTGATTTCACCTTCACAACGCACACACAGCTCAAACTCCCAGTTCCTTGCATTGAACTTATTTCTTTCAGTTTTCCTGATGGCCCCTCTTCCAAAACTGTTGACCTATTGCTCAGAAGATGATGACGAAAGCCACACTGCTCTTTCTACACAAGATGTTGTTTGGTAAGGTAGTTGGCTTATATACTACCCTAGCAAGCTAATTTGTCTATTTTACTCATGTCACACTGGATAACTAAACAACTATCTATTCAAAGGTGGATAAAATACTTCCCAGTAAAACTCAGATCTTAAGTCCACAGGGTTTATATAACACAGCAGTCGTTTAAAAAATACCTTAGTGAATAAAGAAAATTTCTACATGGGTAGAATTTAACTAGTCAGGAGCTACTGATTCAGTTTTCTACAAAAACAAGTTTGAAAGATGTATTTATTTTATATGTATGAGTATTTTGCCTTCATGTACCACATGTGTGTCAAATGCCCTGGAAGCCACAAGTGGGAGCCAGAGACCATAGACCTGAAGTTACAGATGGTTGTGAACCACCCTGTGGGTGCTGGAAAGTGAACGGGTCCTCTGCAAGACCAAGAAATGCTCTTAACTTCTGAGCCATCACTGCAATCACTACTTATTCAGGCTCAAATAAAACATCTATTTTATTTTAGTGAACAGACTTATAAGACCTTTACTCCAAGTAATACTTGTTTGCCATCATACAGATACTAATTAAACAAACAGGAGGGAACCTACACACTAAGAGGAAATGGGCAGAATGTTGTCCTCCACACATGCTGATTGAAAATCTACACTTACTCTCCTTGCAGTCTACTTCTGAAATTATAAAGAGAACACTGGAGTACCATTTGGTAGAAAAGACTTACCTTGCCTCATATCAGCACTTGGAGGAACTGCTGACAAATAGCAGTGTGGCAATGGATACGATGAGAACATTGGCCAAGGATATGGGTCATCCCCCTACAAACACAACAACACAGGAAACTTCAGGAGGAGGGTTAAGATACTGAACTTCCATACTTTCTGGAATATTGTTCATTTAAATTGACATTTTTGTTCATACTTTTTGGTCCAATTATCAAGTTATTTGCTACTATAATCCACTATTCCTAAAAGGCAATAAGCAAATGTAATAAAAATTTTAAACAAGTTGGACTACGATAACTTACTCTTGTGATTTGAACTGATAATGATGGATTTACTTTTTTTCATGAAAGGGAAAATATAATCTTCAAAAGGCATTTCCCCACCCCCAAACTATTTTTCTTCTGCCAATCATATCTAGCTCCTCTTTTCCAGGGTGGCACTAACAGAAAGGAAGTTCTTAACAGCTACACTCCATAAGGACCCCACATACTCCGTACTGCAAAACATAAATAACACGACAGTGAAGGGTCAGGAAAGAAAAAGACTTCAGAACGCAAATACTCAAGGATACTCAGCAGAAAGGTCTGTGATAAAACAATAATCTATGGCTCCTGGACACTCAACAGCAACTCATGAGCTCTTGAAGGCATCATTGCTGTTTCATTTTGAATGTGTTCACCTGTTTTATAAGCTTGTCAAGCAACACAAATCGACCACTGGTACGTAGAAACTTGGGAAATGTTGTTTAGTGCCACTTCCGTTGTTTATTTCACTTTAAAACATCGCAAAACATTGCACGCACCTTCTCAAGCATCCTTGGAGGTAGAATCCGCTCCAAGGGTCCACCAATGAGATTAATCCTTACAAGAACATGATTTCTCTCGACTGACAAACCATCAATTATAAAGTCCCTGAAAGAGAATATGCATCAGTTTTGCTGTCTCCTTAATTGAATATGGTTTGATTTTTAAATCATGTCACTAGATTGCAAGGAGAAAAATAAAAGTCAACAAAACAAACAGAAACGAAATGTATCTGCAGAACACACTGGTCATCGGAATATTTACAATATAGAAGGCACCGGTCCTTTTTTTATATCGTCAATTTTCATTGCTTCAAAAAAATACTAAGACAAAGGGTATTTCCTTAATGAATAATCCTGTGCTAACAAAAACAAGTTTAGGACATGTCTTATATCTGAAGTAACGTAACCATCTTTAGAAAAGCTCCTGCTAGACTGGAGAAGTGGCTCAGTCATTGAAGACTAAGATTGTAACTAAGGCGACACAAGCTTCTCTATGATCTGGAGTCAATGCCTAAGTCCACAGCACACAAGTTGCTGAAGAGCAGTTTCGTTTCTAATGCTGCTCTTTTCCTTCTATATCAAACCTCAGCATCAAATAAACGGCCTGGGAAGGAGGGAGGTGAACTACTATGTTCTGGATTACAGACATGAGAGCAATGGCAGATGCTGAATGTGTATTCTATAAATGTCAGCCAAACTGAGGTAATGACAACTGTGATTTATTAGTAGGAAAATAAAAATGATCAAAACCTCACTTGGCAAATAATTATAATGCATGACTATAAACTGACATAATTAGGAAACTGGGGACGGAATGGCACTAAGAGAGATGTAAAAATCAAGCATTTTTACTCAAAGGGTCACTGTACAAAGTGATGTGAATTTAAAATTGGAATGACTTTGTGAAAAATTAAAGAAAAAGTCCTAAGACAAAAGGAACAAATGACAAATGTAGCACTCTCCAAAAACATACATCATTATCTTCCTGGGACATTCATGCTCAAATGGCTTTTTACTCTGTCATTTAAATGCAGTAATTCAGACAATATAAAAGTTATACAGAAAATTCATTTCAAATCATTTGTAAGCCAAACTGCTAATAGTATCACTCTAATGACACCTTTTGCTTTGTTTCCTGACCTGTGGTTCTCCAAGGTCTCAAAGGTATTTTCTTCCTGAGCATGTAGTAACATGTTGGATACTTGATACTGAGCCTCCAGTAAGAGAAGAGCATCCAGATCACAGCACACCACACTTAATAACCTACGTGAGAAGAACAGCAGTAATCATGTGAAGTACGGTGTGGACATTCTTAAGATTTCGAAGTAAAACCTGAGCCTTGAGATCCCAATCTCATAAGCATGTCTACACACTTATGTCAAGTTTGTTTTTATTTTCCGACAGTCTCACTTACAGCCCAAGTCAGCCGAGAACTCATTCTGAAGCATAAGACCGTCTCAGAGCCAGGCAGTGGTGGTGTATGCCTTTAATCCCAGCACTTGGAAAACAGAGATAGGCAGATCTCTGTGAGTTCGAGGCCAGCCTGGTTTACAAGAACTCGTTCCAGGACAGCTAAGACTGTTACACATAGAAATACTGTCTCAAAAACATAAATAAATAAATAAATAAATAAATAAATAACAAGATGATCTCAGAAATGCAGCAATTCTCCTGCCTCAGCTTTGCAAGTGTGGAATTATAGGCAATAGCTACCACACTGAACTCTCGCATATATTTTTAAATATTTACAGTTGTAACATCTGCTTCAGAAGTTATTTTTAATTTTTAATCCAGACTTTTCAAACTTGCATCAATAACATCATGAATATGAGAATATTCTTCTTAGGCAGTCTCATGGTAGGCACCTGTAATCCTGCACCCAGGAGGCTGAGACAGGAAGACTGCCATAAATTCAAGACCAGTTTAGAATATAGAAAAACCTGTCTAAGAAAAATAACAAAAACAACGAATCCTAAAAGATTAAATAACTGTTACGTAAAGATTCATCAGGGAATGTTAATGAGTCCATTAAAAGTACAAATTACCATAAAGATTCAAAACAGTAATTTTACCACTAATCTAAAAAAATGGCAGTATTAAAGTGGCAATATCAAAATTGATTTTATGGAAATGAAAAGCTTAGAATACAAGATGGAAACCTCAGAAATCAGTGTCTCAATCAACCCACATCAGAAAAACTTCCTCTTTCAATAGATGAGAATCAACACAGAGACCAACAACTAGGCAAAGTTCAGAGAGTGAGAGACTTTGGGGTACTCAATTCTAAATGTATGTCTCCATCAAATCGTTCCCTTGAAGGCTCAGGGATCTATGGAAAATAGGAGGCAGAAATACTGCAAGAGCCACTGGTGATGGATGACCCCAAGGCCACATCAGGACCGATGGTGCACACATGAAATCACAGAGACTGCGGCAGCATGCACAGACCAGCAGAGGTTCCAGCCAGCACTGAGATGAGGAAGTAGACAAAGACTCCCACCCCAACCAAGAAGTTACCTGCATCTGATACCCATGGGCAAAGGGGAGATCAGTTTTCTCTGACGATGCGTCACTGGGTATACCAACCACACGTCAAGGCAGGTCTCATGCCCAGGAAGAGTTGGCCAACACAAAATAGACTCCATGTTTTGTTGTATGCTTTTTACATATTTTGTTTCGGTTTAGGATTTCTGTTTTTATTTTGTTTGTTTTGTCTGATTGGTTGTTGTTTTTAGTTTATCTGTTTTAGACCTTTGGCTTTTGAGGCAAGGAAGAGATGAAGAGATGGAACATAAAGTTGGTTGTATAGAGAGGTGGGGAGACCTGGGAGGAGGTGGATAAAAGGAAAGACTATATACCGGAATCCCATGGTCCTCGGAGGGATACCTACTAATGAGCTTTTGGCCTGATAGATACCCAAAGTTTCCCAAAATAACATAAAATATTGATGTAGTATGACTGGTATGTGGAGGTTCACTTAACTATTACTACCTTTTCATAGCTTTAGAAATCAAAGATTTCAGATTTGGGCACAACTACATGTTTTACCTGTTCAAAGCATACATAAATAAATTAAGATTTTTATCAAAAATAGCCATTTGATGACACTGTCTAGATCCTGGCTACGTTATTTCAAAGGATATATAAAACCAAAGCAAAATCCACCCCAATAATTTAGAAAAAGGTTCCGCTCAGTTTACAGATGTCAAGAGGTGAACTGCTATTACTATTTAGATTCAGTGCAGACAGAAGCAAGGGGAAGACTAGGCATCTAGTTAATTAAAGTTTGTGCTGCTCAAAACCAAAATCACGGAGGAGGAGGAAGAGTGCACAACATAAAGTTTTAAACCCAAAACAAGCTCAAGATCAGCCAATGGCAGAAAAAAACAGCATATACAGCAGGTAAGGAGATGTGCAATGGGGAAAAGGCTCTTCTCTTGAGGACCTGAGTCAAAACCCTGGAGCCTATGTGAAAACCAAAACCAAACAAACAAACAAAAAAGATTGTGCTTGTGCCTACAATGTGGTAGGGCCTGGAGAGAGAGAACTAGAACAACATTCTTGTAAAACCCTTGAAAGGAGCTTCATTAGAAGAGCTGCCATGTATAACATGACAGGCAGCCTGAAGAAGAAAGAGAACCTTTAGTGAAATCCCCCAAACTTTCCACCTTTTACAGTTTTCATAGGATGGCGATAAATTCTCCATCGCGTGATTTGATCTGTCACAGCCTTTATGCCAAGAAGCTGGGTACACAGGGTAAGACCATAAATTTGTTGTACACATACAGAGGTTAGGGGAAGCTGGTTTTGTGTTCCTATCCCACTCATAAACACTAACCTTTACAGCAGAGGCCTGTCAGCTGCAGAGCGGTGTGGCTGAGAGGCAGGTAGAGGAGGATCTGTAATCTAACAAAGCCATGGGAATTTCTACTGGACTGAAGACATCGTGTAAAAGAAAGAATCAAGAATGATAGAAGAGGCCGGGCGGTGGTGGCGCACGCCTTTAATCCCAGCACTCGGGAGGCAGAGGCAGGCGGATCTCTGTGAGTTCGAGACCAGCCTGGTCTACAAGAGCTAGTTCCAGGACAGGCTCCAAAACCACAGAGAAACCCTGTCTCGAAAAACCAAAAAAAAAAAAAAAAAAAAAAAAAAAGAATGATAGAAGATTTCTAGGTCAAACAAGCAAGAGGAACTTGTCATCAACAAATAACACACACACCAAAATAAAAAGATTTAGACAGAAACTAGCCAACCTCTTTCTTCTCTATGCCTACTAAGTCACTGAACTGATGATAAAAATGACCATCACTGGCTCTCTAAATTAATATTTAATATGAGAGGGGTCTTGGTGGGCTGTGAGGTAATTTGTATAACTGGAGAAACTCTATTTATGAACAAATTCGTAACTGAACCAAATCCTCATTAGACGATGAAGAATCAAGACCACCAGATGATTAAAGTTTTTTTAAATCATGCAAACACCAGTAATACTTGAAAGTTAAAAAAAAAAATTTAACTGCACAGTAAATCAGAAGAATGTCATACTCAACCAAATACAGTTCATTATGGGAAGAAAATAGCAAATGTATTATTAAAGTCTGCTTTATGATGTAAATGACATGAATATGTAACCCAGTAAAAATTATGCCATCATTTGACAACATTCCCATCAGGGTCACAAGAAGACAACAGTCCACTCTCCCCATTTTTAAGAAAAGGGGGGAGTTTTATTCTTTTCAAAGTTCTAAGAATTTACAAACAAGAACGTTTTGCTGTGAAACATCAATGAGGTAATAATGGTGGCCTAAGACTCACTCTAGAGCAGGCTCTGCTAAGCCAGGCTTCCCCAGGTTCTGACAAGATCCATCAACCTTCTGCCAAATCCAGCTGAAGGTGGATAAGAAAGCCTTCGGAAAGGCAGATGGGCATGAATATTCACCGCCATTCCCATTTAACACTGAAAGCAGGACTGGGCATCCACAAGACAGAAAATAAAGCTAAATGCAAAGGAATTCAAGGCAGCCCAGAGCATCACCTTTCCTTCCATCTACTGCAAGGAACCGAATGGCTTGCTTCTAAAAAGAAAAGACAGAGGCCATGCCTGATGCCCCCATGGGGCTTAATTTATTAATTCTATCTGACAGATAAATACCTAGAGAAGGGGCACAGAATAGCTATGATGACCCAAGGACAAAATATTAAACTCCCTAGAACATGAGGATCTTTGTACTGATTTTTAAATTGTTTACTTAATTTCTGAGCATGAATAGCATGATTTTATAATTATAAATTCATGTCCAAGTATCATGCAAAATAATCATCTGTATGTTCTCTCTATTTGCACATATGCATCGTACCAATTTTGTACCGGTGTGTGGCTTTCAGTGTGTGTTATCTCCAAGAACAAAGAGACAAACTGCCGTCATCAGATGTTGCTTGTGCTTACGGCGACTTGGCAAATAAAACACAGAGACTATTAACAATGTTTTCACTTCCTAACATAGGCGACAGGCATTTAGTGTTATCTAGAAAAGAGGTAAGTCTTCTTATTTGATTATAAGGGTGCTTTCACAGTCTGGATGCTCCTTCTGCATCACTCCTCATTTCCAAAATTAGTCTGCTTCACCATCTATAGCCGGGTGAGTTACAGACATGGCAAGGTCTTGACTGGCGAGTTACAGAAACTATAAGGTCTTGAAAGAAGGTTGGAGAATAGGGCCATGGGCAGATACATCTAACACAGTGAAGTACAAAAGTGGCTGCTACAACAGAGGAGGAGAAATGGATCGCTGTGGGATATCAACTAATGTGATCTGAAAAGAATCTTTACATGGCAACAAGTCAACAAAGAACAAAATAAGTCACGGCACTATGAGGGAAAAGTGTCCCAGTCAAAAGAGCATACGGCTTAAATGCCCCTATGAGGGGAGCATTTATAGCACAATGGAACAAGTGTAAAGGGGCCAAAGTAGGCAAAGTGGAACAAAAAAGGAAAGGAAAGGAAAGGAAAGGAAAGGAAAGGAAAGGAAAGGAGAGGCGACCAAAGGAATAGTAGGGCTCCAAATATCCAGATAACATCAGTAACCATGATAGTTCCAGACTTGTCTACTGTAACCCATGTGTAAAATTCTAAAACAAAGGAAAGAATTAAAATAAAAAATGTAATCAGTAGACAGGATTCTAAACACCCCTAACACAAATAAATGATACATGGTTCAAGTTGGACACAGCAATTTCCCTGATCTGACATTATATATTGTATA